CCTCGTCTGATGTAATCACACGTTGCGTAGCCTCGTCTAATGTAATCACACGTTGCGTAGCCTCGTTTATTTGCATCAAACAGTCGAGAGGGAAACTAGATGGAAACAGTCTAGATTCTAATTTTTATTTATTTAATTTTTTGCAAATTTCGAAAAGTTTGATAAAAATTCWCTCTACAACTGGATGGAAACATGACTATTATGTCTAAGAACAGTTGTTTCTATTACAAACATTAGTCTTATGTTTTAAAGAGTCAGACACATTGAATAAGTGTACATACCACCTCTCCAGGTTTGCAAGGATCACAGTCATCAGTGGGGTACATGCGTGTGACAGGGCAGCCAAGGATTTCATGTCCATTGGGGACATGGTTAGTGTAGTCCTGGGGATAAAGAAAAGTTCAGCATTAGTAATGCATCAGGTGGCATTTATAGTCCTAATATTCTGAATGGGCTTCTCATCAGAGCAGTCAGTGGCAAAAGTTTAATAGTTCAAACACAAAAAAACAACTAGAACATCTGATTTCCTGTTTTCACAGCAGTTAATGCTGTTATTATTGTTTATTTGTTTTGTCTTCATTAAAAAGCCCGCTGCAGCTTGTCACATTCACTCTGAAATAATATGAGCTACCTGGATTCAGGTCCACCAAAAACCTCTGAATATACACCACGACATGGCAATTCAATGGAGGAGTGAATAATCCTTAATTATTTTTCAATTTGTAATCATTAATGATGCATGAAGTTTGGCAGTGCCAGACCTCTAATAGATCTGTGTTTACAAAGATGTTTTATTCAATGGGGTTTGTAATTATAGCATCCAACTTTTGTGAAAACTTTGAAGAGAAAAACAAATTTAGAAAAAAAAAACGACACATCAACTATTAAATTAATTGACAATAGTGGACAATAATAGTGACTAGATGACTAATCGTGGAAGCCATACATACTCCTGACTGCTGGGCACTGCTGGGGAGCTCATTGGAGTCAGAAACAAGAATAAAGTTTTAGAAGAGAATCAACTGGTTTTCTGTTTTATTCAGACTTCCACTTATTGACCATGTTTTGTTGCAAAACTAACTGGGTAACTTACTGTACTGTATACTGTTTCTGCTTCATGCAATAGAAAAAGACCATTGATAAAAACTCATTGCCTAACAGACAGGAGTCAGACTCACTCCTTCCTGTTTTACAGGAAATGTCTTTTGCCRACCTGGATGCACTGCAGCCACCACCACAAGGCGTCGCGGCAGTTGTACCTCGCACAGCGACCCTCTCCCAAAAGGTTGGGGATCAAACCATGGCGCAAAGTCCCTGCAAATGCCAGGATGATGTTTCTATGGATACCAAAACACAAAATGGTTCATTTCAAAGCAGTAATTGAGAGTTTTTATTAAATAAATTGATCGTTTTGATTAAGCCTGGCAACAAAAGTCTTCACGTACCGAGACTCAATMATTCTTCCTGTGATAAGCATCAGACCTCTAAGAGCAATAAACGTGTCTCTGCCCCAACAACGGAAAATTCCCGAAGAGAAATGAGGAAGTCCTGCAAACAAGACTCCATTAGTTGTTTTCTATGTTGTAAGTTTTTWAAATCAAGACAGAATAAATACATGTTGACAAAAATGTTGGTACCCTTTGCTTCAACAGAATTAAAAACAAAACAAAACAAAAAACTCATTAAACAGGCCTGGACTGAAATGATGGAACCCCTGAAAATAATGTGACCAAAGGTTTATGTTAAATCAAGGTGTGTCACTAATTATCATCACAGGTGTCTACAGTCTTGTAATCAGTCAGTGGGCCTGTATTATAAGCTACAGATACTCACTGTGCTGTTTGGTGACATGGTGTGGACCACACTCTACATGGACCAGAGGAAGACAAGAGTTTTTCTTGAGAAAATCTTTCATTTATCTGGACCAAAGTTTCAGACTGATTATTTAAACAGAAATGTTAATTAATCATCATAAATGTTTTACAGTGATTTCTCTTAGAGTCTATCAGAAAGAAAAGCTAAAGAAGATATTATCAAATGTCTGTTAAACCAACTACAGAATGTATCCTTGACTGGCGCCAGCTGGCAAAGGCTCTTACTGTATCTTCCTTTCTTTCTCTGACTCACTCTTAACGCCTGAGGGCGGAACCAAATTCGTCCGCCTCTTTTACTAACACGGACYACTTTGAGAGAGGGAACACACTTCTTCCTGAATGCCAAACAGGGAGACCGGCTGTTTTTCTCTCCGGAGGAACAGCTTGGCTTCGGATCTCGCCCATGAGCCAAATAGGGTGAGATCTGACGGCCAGGACAGAGGCAAGCTGGCTTCTGTCCACACAGAGACTCACGTCTCCCCCGAGGGGAGATTTTTATTTTGAAAAGAAGGGACCGGATGACAGCTAGAATCTTTCTGGCTTGGACTGAAACAGACGAAAAGTTACTTGAAAAACACCTACTTGCTAAGGACCAATAAGCGAGCTGATAAAAGTTCCCTGGATGGTCGGAGGTGAGACAGTTCCTACCCAGGGG